CGCCTCAAGAAATTGATTCGCAACAGTAACGCAAACGCTCCTGTAAGCGGATTATCTCCAATGGAACTGAATTACATTTTACGGCATCTCTTACAGAAAGAATGAACATATCCCGTGGCCTATCATCTACAAGTATGCGCTCTCACTTTCAGCACAAGTCATCCTCACAAGGATACCTCCGTATCAGATTTCTATGTCTATGGAAATATCTACAAGTGCTAATAAATCAACTAACAACTCGAAAACAAGGTGGCCGTGAGACGCAACTACTAAGCAGTTCATGATGAAAACTACCTCACGAATTAGAACTCTCTCTTCCCTCAGGTGCCAAGTAAACTTCGTCCCCTCGAGTCCCTCACTGCACTGGTACAATGCATAATGGCATCAATGATTGTTCTAGTGCGGAACATTATAAATACACTAGCACATTACCCTATTTTGCATGTTAAGAAGTAAATGACATGAGGAATTAGAGTGGTTTCCAGGCGCGCAATGGTTTTCCAACGATATGTAGAGCATCTCTCGGTACCCGTCACCTATCTGAAAGGAGAAATGCATGGCTCAACTCAGTACAATATTCGGAGCTGTGCTAGTTATGAATTGATTAGTCTTCCCATTTCCTTTCATCACGAGCCCCGCCTGTGATCATCAGTTACAAATGTCAACGCCAGTAGAACTAGGCGTGGGCGTACTGTAATCGCTTGCGGTACGCAATTGCACCGGCGCAGGGTGGGATATATACGTAACATCCTGGGGGTGGGGCCAGAGTCAACCCTGCGTTGCGCAGTTCGCAACGGCACGTTGAGAGATCCTCAACGCACGCTGTATGGGCGGAGACGCACAGACGGCTCGAGCATGCGAGTGTGAATGTTCGCGCGAGAGAACGTGTCTAATCGGGCGAAACTGCGCAACGTGGCCGTTGAGAACTGCGCAACGCAGGGTTGACTCTGTCTGCGGGTCATGGTAAGCACTAGGTTTGAGAGGGGAGGATCCCAAAAAAAACTGCGTGCGAGCCCAGTTTCTCCATCCTAAAGCTTTGTCCTAAAGTTGAGCATAGGTTTAGTTCGTCAGCACTATACGTTATCAGCCTTACACGCTGTGTTGGTGATATTTTAAAATCAAGAGAGCTGCACAACCTGGAGCATCAGTTTTATGTAGCAGCTTCAGACCCCTGTCTACCTGGGGTGCGGTTCACTAGGACAGAAAGCGACTTTTTCGCGTTTCGCAGCGCGAAACATTTTCGCTGCGGGAACCTCAGGTCCACTGATGATCAGCGGTGGACCTGAGGTTCCCGCAGCGAAAAATGTTTCGCGCTGCGAAACGCGAAAAAGTCGCTTTCTGTCCTAGTGAACCACATCCGTCTACCTGCGGTCTGAAAAATAGTCCGCAGTATGTCTGCGCTCAAAAGACAGGGAATAGGTGCGCAACTTGTCATGCACACCTTAACTATTGATCGACACCGGCTCCCAGACAATGCCTAAACGTTTGGGCGCGGCCGCGGCGAATGCGTCGATTGTGCCCGCGAACCGTTGAAAACGCACTCGAGGTGCCCGCGAACAGTGCAGTGCTGAGTTCGCGGGCACCTATCAACTCGCAAAGAGCCGACGGTTCGCCATGGGACCGCCAGCCCGCGAGGTGGTTGAAGTATTGGTCTGCGCCGATCGATACGCAAGCAATCGGCCTCCAGCTGAGCGGCAGGATCCAATTACCAAGGCTCGTGGCACCTCTAGGGCGTCAATGACTGAGAGTGGGAAGAAACTGTCTAGGTGTTCTTTCAGTGGTTAATTATATAAATAAGAAACCCCTAAGTGTCGCCGTAGGGCCTAGCGCAGTAGGACACAAATCAAAGACGTAAACGAAGGGATAAAGCATTTGCCGGTTGACGCGGATTGAATCTATGCCCATTTTTGGATGCGCACGCAGATTCTACTTAGATGCCATGTGTAACATCGAATAAGGGCATGTCTGACAAGATGCGAGTATGCTGCCTAGTAACAAAATCGGACTTGCGGGGGCCAGCCGATGTTCAAGTCAGTGTTTTTATCCTCCCAGACAAGTCTGGTACCAATTAACCGACCCCGGAGGGATGGAAGGCTTGGTTGGCCCGGGCGACTCACGACCCAGGATTTGATCCCCGGACCGCTCGCGTGGTAAGCGCGCCACTTGTCACTACACCACTTCCGCCCTAATAAACCGTATGTAAAAATAATGGGTGCATAAACGGTTCCGTTGGGGAGGGCCACGAGAGAGTAGGGCGGCGAGCGCGGCAGTCTGTCTCACAAGTGGCTGGGTTCTTCTCGAAGCTGAGATAGTGTAAACTCGAACATTCCAGCATTTTCACGGAAACATGCAAGTGACTGCCCAACCCCGCACCAGGAGAGTCAGCACCCGAGCTAGGTAGACTGCCTACACTGCGGGGGAGTAAAAAGGGCGCCCCGCCGGCCCAGCGGACCGAACATGCCGAGGCGAGCAAGACTGTCCGCGCCGACCCCGTGCCCCACCCCACTAAGTTAGCACGAATTTATCCGATTTTTGGTCCGAAGAATTTGTGCTATGGGAAACATTCATGATCCCATCCGTTTGCTAGGATGGCCCCTCTATGTTTTCGACTACAGGTAATTCTGCTGGCAACCCAAGCGTCGTTGCCATGAAGCCCACGTCATGTTCATGCAATGAACGTGAACGTTTACTGCTGAAAAGTGCTGGAGAGGTAGCGATGCATACCAGAGAGCCCAGCCATATTATGGCTTCAACCTTACTCCTTCAATTTTTCGTGTTATTATGAACTCTGTGGAGTGCCGTCGCGGTGCAAAATGGTCGAGAAGAGGCAGATTTTAGGGAAGAGCGGTCGACATAACCATTATGCATGCAATAATCGCTTCATTGATTGGTTTTCGCATCGCATTTTGCACCTTCTTTTCTTAGTTATCGATCTCGTGGTTACTGACTCGCTTACCTTGTGCTTGCTTGATTGAATACAAACTCGTTTCAGAGGGAATGTGTTCTATTGTTTCACTTTTTCAACATCAGCTTTTGAACCCGTTTTTTTCAGTTATTATTCGTTGTTTCTTTGGATGAGCATCGAGACCTGAACAGTGAGCAAAGTCGTCTCGCGCTTCTATCATGGTATGTTTTAGAGGAGAAATGAATTTAGTCTGAAGTCATCTGCATAACCAGTTGCCGATTTGCAGTTAGAATTATCATCATTCAAACCCTTCATGTTCTCGTGTCGAATCTGTCTTGCTCTTCCACTACTTTATGCCACGGAAATCTTGACAGAGTTATTGCACTCAGCTTCATTCAAATATGCTTATTTTCAGCCAGATTCAATGAGCTGTCACTTCTCGGACGACGGTTGGGATTTGCAGTATGATTTTGTAAGTACCATCCGATCTACATTACTGTACTGTCAGAGATATCGCTCGGGTTAAAAAATGTGAATGTTTTTCTTTTTTTGCCAACGAAATGAATGTACGAGAGTGTAGCTTTTTGGACAGTCTGCTTGAAGTCTTTTTGAACCTGTTTCACTTGCATTTGCTACGTCTTATTCTGTGTTGTTTTTGAGGATCGAATCCTGCATAGCTATGATCTAATATATGAGGAATTGACAGGAAATCCAGTCGAGATGAAAGTTGAAGAAGCTCCTGTTCATATGGTATGCTTATTTAGATTTTCTTTCCTATTTTCATTCACATTCAAATTTAAAATAACGTGCTTTTTATGAGAGAAGATATTGTGCTTTCAATCAGGAGGCCGTGGCCTGAGTCGGTGTATTTTCATTGTTATTTTTGCATTAAAATTTCAATGAAGGGCAACCTGATCGAGCTAAGCCTTTCAGTGTTCACCTGCTCAATTTCAAGGCCCAATATATGCAGAAGAAACTTCAAGAGATCTTTTCCGTTGTCGTTAATTTTGATTAATTTATAGTATGACTATGACGAAGTGATCAGTAAACCAAGAATCTTCACGCCTCCTCTTCAGTATCAGCGTAATGCTTTCGTGCGTGATATTCTTTATGCTTATATGGAGGAAGCTGGAGAAAAAATACGCAAGGTATCTTCGCATACCGGCTCCCACACTTTCTTCACGATTTGGGGCGCGGCCGCGGCGAGCGCGGACGAGTCCACAGCAGGGTGAATATCGCTTGAGGATTCCTCAACGGCACGTCGAGGATTCTCTGCCCGATCAGACACGATCTCTCGCGCGGACATTCACACTCGCCATGGCGTGCCGTCTGTGCTCTCCGCGGATGTTCACTCTCGGCACTACTGGCCGATGTCAGACTTTGCGATTGGAGCGATTTTGCACCAATTGCAGGAGCGACGGGAGATTTACCCCGCCGACCGATACACACGGCGCCGCTCGGGTAAATCTCCCGTCGCTCCTGCAATTGGTGCAAAATCGCTCCAATCGCAAGTCTGACATCGGCCACTCTCACATGGTAGAGAGCTATGGTCGTGGAAATCCTCGAACCGTTATTCACCCTGGTCCACAGTGCCCGCGAACTGTGGTGGGGGAGCGTTTTCATATTTACCCACGCACAGTTCGCGGGCACTAGCGACTCGGCCGCGCCCAAAAATCGTTAAGAAAGTGGAGGAGCCTTCGCATACCTGCGATACCTCTAGTAACCTTTATCTCTGAATAGTTTATTTTCAGTTGGCTGTACTTGGATGTGGTTCTTTGTCACTGGAAAGATTCCTTATAGCGTTATTGGGAGGTATGGGCATTGAAAGAGTAATGTCCGTGGATATCGACGAGAGCGAAATTGCAAAAGGATTAAAATTATTGAAGTGAGGTAGAAACCATTTCTCATTGGTGTTTGTGTTTGAGTACTGATCTTTGAGTCGCTGAACAGGCTATGGTTGAAAGGTTCAATTCTGGTCCATTAAAAGTTGTGTATAATTCTTATTATTTTCCTTAATTTTCTGTTATGTTTCGTATTTTTATTTTTATGTTGAAAGCTCTGTGAGTCGAAACGGATGAGAAGCTGAAAAGCAGTTCTCGTATCCGTTATCTTTTGAGCAGTTATAATACGAAATACATATCAAATGAAATCGTATTTCCAGCTTAGCAGAACATCAAATGGAGAACGTAGTATGCAATTCGAACTCACTTCCGGCATTGCTCGACGTTTATAAAGGTAATTCTTTCTCTTGCCCAGTTTTTTGATTTCCATTTCTTCGATGCAAGTACAGCCTTTAACATTTTCCAAGGGAGTGTTTCTAGGAGACATTCTTGAATATGATGAACGGCTAGCTGGTGCTGGATGTGTATGCTCTACTGAAGTGTAGGTTTCTTGGATACGATTTACTGCAACATAGTTTTCTATGCACGGCAGGGCGCAAGTGGTAGTGGCAGGTGACATTGCTTACCTCGCGCACGGTCCGGAGATCAAATCCTGGATCCGCTACTAAACCGATCATGCTCTCATCCCTAATTGACACCATCTTTGTTTGGGATAAGAACACGAAACCTGTACACCGGCTGGGCGCTCAGCTCTTAGCATGGGTCAAATGCATTGAAAATACCATTACGATTCTGAATGGAAAGTAAAACTCGTGGCGCACCCGAAAAGTTATAACTCAAGCGCGAATAGTTCCGTACTCGGAAAAAAGCTGGACAGGATTCAGAATCAATTACTGGCTGTGCAAACGTTTTGGTTTTTTCTCCTTCAATTGACATGGTTATGTACTGGAAGAACTGAAATGTAGTCATTCAGTATTGAGCACATTCCAAAGGAAGATGCGACGCGATACGTGCGGTCTGTGCTTCTGAATATACGGCCGCAGCTATTCATTCTTTCCACTCCGAACCACGAATACAACGAAGCGTTTGGTATGCCTAATGGAAAGTTTCGCCATGATGATCATAAGTTCGAGTTTACGCGGCAACAGTTCAGAAATTGGTACGGTTTTGAAGTTTTCCGACCTTCTGACTGAAGATGTTCA